TTTTTATAAGAAATGATATATATTTTGTACAAAGAGTGCTATAGGCACACACAATAGATAATCTAGAATCAGCCATAAGAGGACCAATTATAGATAATCTAGAAGGCTGCCTATGACGGAAATTTGTGGATTTTGTGTAAATACCATTTATAGTAAGGACAATAGATAATATTGCGGCAATGCTATTGTGCCTCTTTATAGGCTTGTAGATAATCTATAAAGACTTGCTGGAGGTGATGACATCATATAATCTATTGTGAAACGTTATGATGATTCATTATAGATTGTCTACAAGCCTATAAAGAGGCATAATAGCATTGCCACAATATTATCTATTGTCCTTACTATAAATGGTATTTACACAAAATCCACAAATTTCCGTCATAGGCAGCCTTCTAGATTATCTATAATTGGTCCTCTTATGGCTGATTCTAGATTATCTATTGTGTGTGCCTATAGCACTCTTTGTACAAAATATATATCATTTCTTATAAAAATTTCTATAATTGGTCATTAGATTTTGGACTTCCCGGTGTGTCATGGCTGTGGATGTTATGTTATGTTATGTCCATGTGGCTTGTGTCCATATACGGTGCTCGACACTTTTGGTATGGCATTCCTGCACCCCATTTGGGCTTGATAGCACCCCTCATTTCAATCTGTTGTAGCTCCTTCATCTATGGTCCAAACTGTCTGAAAATTTAAAACATTAGGTGTATATGTATATAGCTCTACAGCTTTAAATCTAAAAATGCGATTAAAATATGATTAAAAAAGCACTCAAAAAAGCGAAATTGAATAACAGCCTCATGGTGGATGAGTGATGGGGCTTGCTCATCTCTCTTAGCTTTCACCATGAGCATCTGGACAACTCTGGACAACTCTGGACAACTCTGGGCAACTACTGGCAACTTCTAGTGCTCTGTTTGGTCTTTTAACTGAATCTGATCCTGAATAGACCAAGCTTAACGAGTTGTGAAGTCCACCTGCACAGCCTCAGTTTGCTGTAACCTACAAGCAGTCTTTATGGATCTGCTGGACCTCTCTCACTCAGTGGTGCACATTTGCTTAAGTTTTGTTGGGAAATTCCTTATGGAAGTTCTTGACTTTTACTAAGATTCTCACTGCACTTCCACCTGCTTTGCAGAAAAGGGGTGGCACAGAGATCTTCAAGAAGCATAATACTGTGCACTGCCTTACAGTGATTTCTTCAGGTGATATCCAGTAAAAGACTGCAGGGTACGCAGGCTCAACCCCACTCCCATTTCTGTGCCAATTGGATTTTGTGCTGGTGGATTCCCTTGGTCCAATTTATGTTGCATGTTTGCAATGTACAATGGTTCACATACTGGGGAAGGATGTCCCCCTCAGAATAAGGGTGCCACTGATGCAGTTTCAAGCCATGCTCAGCTGTTCTTTGGTCCCTTGCTATCTGTTCCTGGTGTCGCTGGTTCATCAGAAATTATGCATCCACTATTTATGGGTAGCAATGATGAGAATCAGGTCAGCCCAATATTGGATGCATCTTCTGATGTCCATTCAGATGACATGGAAGATATTATTGGAAGTGAGCCCTCTCCTGCTGCCACTTGTGAGTTCTGCTTTTTATACAATAATTAATCAATTAATTCAATAAATAATTTCATAAACCCTTTTGTTATTGCATATAGCCAATGTATCATCTGACTTCATTATGGAAGATTCAACTTCAAGTGGAGAAGATGGCAGCAAAGGTATGTGAACCCAACAGAATTAATTATAAGTCCAATTTAAAATTGGAATTTATTGTTTGTAAATATCTAGGTCACAGAAGGCCACAGTATTTATAGGCATACAACACCTCCATCATTTTTCTCCACCCATATGGGTGATTTCACAACTTTGTCTGAGAGTGATTGGCACTAATTATGTCAAGAGTGAGAGGAGATGCTGCTCTCTGCTTCCTCCAGGGATAGAGTTGATGGTGTCATTGATGAAAGCCTTTTAGATGGTGATGATGATATGGATTTTGATGCAGAAAATGCTCAAAAGAGACAGAAGCAGATGATACTGTCAATGGAGTGCTCCAGGAGTACATGGCAGATATTTTGGGAAGGATTAAACAGCAGATTGAGTCTTGTGGATGTCCTGACTGCCATGCCAATGGTACCTTCTGGGAGCATCTAAAAGATCCTTTGTTTGCACTCCAGGTTTCAGCTACTCATACCACTGGTTGTCTCTCCTACAGAGCTATATCATTTGGATATTTTCATTTGGCTTCCTGATCATATTCCAGGATATTCTGGCAGCTTCTCCTGCTCTGGCACCCACCATCATAATCTCAGTTGTAATGGTTGGAATGAGAATCCAATTGCCAGATGGGTCAAACACCTCTATTGTGACTACCTACTTCTTACAAATCACTGGATATGTGATAAAAAGCAGGGTGGATGTGGCAAGAGCTTTCAGATAACAGATCCTTACATTTTATCACAAATTCCACGCCATTTTCAAGAGGCATTTCCTGCCATCCTCACTGTGCGCACCACAGTTGATAAACAGCTCATATCTCTTATGCGCACTTGCTTTGCCACTTGCTTTGGTCTGGAGCCATTTGCAGCACTGATGCAAGAGATGCGTTATCTTGACCATGCACACAGAAAGCTGCTCTATCTTGCTGCAGCTACCTCATCTGCCAAATTCTATCATCCTAGGCTAAGGGTGAGCATGAGTGCACCTGTGGGTGACCTGGATCCATACCCACAGGTTTATAGACTATCAAAATTTAAACTTAGATGTGCATAAGTAACATAGTACAGGTGACCCAGATCTGCAGGTCAAGTACCCATAAAAGTGCAAGTACTTGTTATTTAATCAAGAAAAGTGATACAAGCAGGGCTTGAACCAGCAACCTCTTATATTTAAGACCACTAATGCTTTAGACCACTGAGCCACATATATCTACATAACTAAAATATAAAGCCTGTTATACCAAGTCTTGTAGAAAATTAAAATACATTTTGTATGAAGGGTGTTATAGGCCAATACAGGTATGGCCATAATAGGACCCATTATAAATATTTTATTAGGATGTCTATGGTAAATGTTCATAATTTTTGCATTAATCCCAATTACAACAAGAACAATAAATGATATGGTGGCAATGCTACTGTGCCCTTTATAGATGTGTAGATAATCATGTTCACTATGGGCTATAACATCTAAAATAGTGTTACCACCATAATACCTATTGTGCTGGTTATTTTGTGCAAAATATATAAAGATCTGTGATAGATACCCAATAAAATATCTATAATAAGTGCCTATGGCAACATTTCCAGGTGTATATAGCTCAGTCTAGCATCACTGGTCTAAAATGTGAGGTTGCTGGCTCAAATCCAACTAGTGCTACTTTTTCTGATTAACTTTGCTGATGGCATTTTATTTATATATCTTTGACTCTGATTCAATTTTTAAGGGCCAAATTAAGTGACAAGTAAGGTGGGTACCTGTGGTAGGTACCTGTGTCTACAGATGTGCTACCCAGATCTGTAAAGACCTGTGCCACTCAAAAACTCCAATCTGTGGGTCACTTGACCTGTGGGTGACCCAGACTCGTGCTCACCCTTATCCTAGGCCATTCTCTAAATTTACATTTACTAACAAAAACCATTATGTGGGCACTTCACCGTTGACACAGTATTGCAAGGCCATATTTGTAGATTGGATGTGTGCATATAGACCATATTTTGACAGAGTTGTTGCTGCACTGCCAGCCACTGTAGTCAAAGGTGATCATACTTTTGGGGTATGTTATTGTTTACCCTTTTTTATTAATATATGTGACTTACATGCTTACTGGTTACAGTTAAGCAAGTTTTTTGCTAAACTTAGAGGGGTGTCCACACATGTTGTCATGTATACTGCAGTTAATGAGTTTGAGGAAGCCTGAATACAGGTTTTGACATTTACCAAGAGCCTAGACTTTGTGGAAGGCTGTTGCAAAAATCTAGCTGCTGAACTTCAGGTTCATGGTCATCCTTTTATGCAGCTCATGTACACTGACAATGCTCAAAATGAACTTGCATATCATGAACAAACAACCCAGTTTCTTCAAGACAATGTATCTCATATTGTCATAAATCCTTTTGAACACCTTCCTCTTCTGCTTCTTCCTGCAGAGCATAAATCCACCTTTTATGAGGATAGTGATCTCATTGATGCTACTTGTGACCATTTGCACAGTGGAACACATGCAAGCAAAACCAAGCTTGTTGTTGGATTTGCACTGCACTCTATGGGAAGGTGTGATGCACCTGAGTCTGGTGGAGTTTATATGATCCAGATTGCCACAGGAGATACAGTTTATATTTTCAAAGTAAGTAAATTTCTCTGGTTTAGATTAGACCCTTGATATTAACCAGGTACCACCTCATAGGTGATATGCTTTCACTCTCGAGCATCTCTCCCACCCAACCTGCTGGCTTAAATCATGTCTCCCCTTGTTATTAAGGTGGGGAAAAATATCTGGAGAGACCTCTCACATATTGCCAGTACCTGGGGATTACCTGAGCTGTTGAAGATTTTGCAAGATTCATCTGATCCTCATTATATTGATCTTGGCCATCTTGCCAAACTCAAAGGGGCTGTGACCAGTGCTTCTGCAAATCTTTCCACAATCACTGCTGCTGTCCTTAATCACTGTATGGTGCAAGAGGATAAATTTTCCAACTTTGATTGGTCTTCACCCTCACTTCCAGATGATGCACAGGATTATGCAGGACTCATTGCATATGCACATCATGAGATTTGGCTCACACTATCTCAAAATGCATCTGTTGGGCTTCCCATTGAACATGTCACAACAGGACAGCTTGTTAGCCTCATGTCAAGGAGGCAGATATCAACTTATGGTGTCATACTCGATCAGCCCCCAACAATTAAATTGACAGTTGGAGACAGTCTGAAAGAGCTTAAGGTTACAGACAAACAAACTGTCATCTCTGCAGAAAGAGTTCTCCTTGATGGCATGATGGTCAAATCCCACAAGTGCACACTTGCACAATTAGGCCCTGCACCATTCACCATCATTGTTCCATTGAATTCCCTTCACACAAGGGTAGTGGAAGAACCACTTCCTTTTTCTACACAGCCTTCAATGTCTATCACTCAACTTCCTGAAAATATCCCACTGCCTAGATCTGCAGAGGAAGTTTTGGCTTCTGATGGAATTGATGCCACTTCTATTGTGGATAACACCAGACTTGGCATTGAGGAGATGATTTCATCCAATGATGACTCTGAGATGCAAGTAGCCTCAGATGATGAGTATGACAGTCAGGCTGAAAGAGAAGAACTTGAGACTCTTGCA